TGTCCGGACAAAAGGCCCCTCATAGCACACTGCATGGCGTATGCCCGTCGTCATTAGCCCAGTATAGGACATAACAGTAGGACATTAAACCCCATTTCATTTCATTTCTGTTAACAATCGGGTTTAAAACACCTAGGTCACAATGCTGTTCGTTGTCTCGTTTTGAAAACAATCTTCATATTGCCCGTGTAACAGACATCGATTAAAGCATCGGTGAACATCTTATGTACAATCTATATCATTAATGTAAATGGGATGTATGTTTCGCCAAAACAATACTTGGAGTTAATGCGAGGAAGGGTAATTGCTTCGAATTCCAGTTGTCAAGAGTTCTGTTAGCTTCAGACTCCCCACTTTTTTCGCTATATTTACACTTGGCCATTATTCAGCATTTTGAAGTCGGATATTGCAAAGTTATCCATTGCACATTCACACCGAATTTAATCAGGCCCCGGTTTCACAAAACATTCTCAGACTTAAGTTAAGAATTTACTCAACTTTCAATCACTGTTTATGAAAAATATCTTTGATCCATAAACACAATTCTTTGCACATAGTTTCTTATTGCTATATTTGATACATTAAAACAACAAAATACGGCGAACAATTTTGAGTAAATTCTTAACGTAAATCTGAGAATGTTTTGTAAACTCGGGGCCAGGACAACGTTTTCTTCAAAAAAGCTTATGGCCTTCAAGTGGCTAACGACACAGTTCTCTTCGAAAATATTATGGCCTTCCAGAGGCTAACGATATCATCCCTTGCTATTCACGAAACAAAGTATACAATTATAATTTTTTTTTCAAAATCGGTAGGGTTCTTCCTACCAAGAAAATTTCGAAAAGGTTTTAATGCACGGAAGCTTATTCGGTTTAACATCGTGGAAGGGTACACACGGTCGCTTGTCATTGTTGACACAATATCTGTCTATTAAGATAGGTATCCCCGTTTGGTTCGAGATGAATCTTTGTGATTTTTAAAGCCCGTTTCTCACATCCAAGTGTATACATTATATTCCCGTGCAGTGGCGTAGTAAGGGTTCTTTGCACCAGAGGCAGACACTTTTGGCGCCCAATATTCAGGTTTGTCATCACTTTCGGCTTATTTCATTTAACTGCAAAATAAAGGAAGACATTTTTTTTATAAAATATTATTGTACCGAATAAATGTTATAACACACATAATTTTAATGTTGATTTTTTTTCACATATATGTCCATTAATTTCCTCTGGAGTTCCTTGTTCACGGTAGAGTCTTGTGGGCACTCTAGCGACAAAGGTTACTATCCAATCAATCAGTTTTCAAATTTATATGCATTTTTTTCAGATTAGAGGAATGAAGAGGCTTATCGGATATCTACGATTTCCATTAATTATTTCTATAGTTATAATTGTAAAGTCTCCTGAACGTTCTGCGGCGACAACATTAATTTATTGTCTGTTCAGCTTGAAATTTAAAATTTTTTGAAGCTGATGAAGGCAATGTGTGTGAGTTAGTTGTATTTTACGTCCGCTTCCACCGAGGTGATATCAATAGGCCGGTGTTAGTTTTATAGCTAGACCTTGCTTGTTATACTTTCTAGTGTGGTTTCTAACTGCAAACGTATACTATTAGTGTCATTAGAGTTCTCAGTCTATGAAAAGCATCTTCCCAGTACATGTTGAACTAAATCTAAACTGCTCTCATCAACTGTCATCTCAATTTTGGAATTCTTTTATGCGGGCCATAATTCATCTAGGATTGCTGTTTTACAGAGAAGAGCCCTGCGTCTTGTCTTATATAAGAAATTTAATTCGGCTCACATTGACTAGTTATTTAAAGGTATCATCCCGATTTTAACAGAGTCTCAGAAATAAAATTCTGTGTACGAATGAAATTTACGCCCCAAAATATAGAGGGATGGTGTATTTACCATGTCTAAAAATTTCAGCTCAAAATATTGAGTCGTTTGGGCGTGAACGTCAAAACCGCTTATCCGGACAGGTAAGCCTTTTAAGATTTCGAGTAAATTAAATTATTTCGTTGGGTGACCTGATAATTTATTGTCTCAGAAATAAAAGTCTGTGTACGAATGAAATTTACGCCCCAAAATATAGAGGAATGGTGTATTTACCATGTCTAAAAATTTCAGCTCAAAATATTGAGTCGTTTGGACGTGAACGTCAAAACCGCTTATCCGGACAGGTAACCATTTTAAGATTTCGAGTAAATTAAATTATTTCGTTGAGTGACCTGATAATTTATTGCCGTTTCTTTAGAGGTCGAGGCCTATACAGTGCATGACCCACGTGCTGTACTTGATAACGAAAGGTAAATTTCGCTTACAGGTTATTTTTATAAAATAAAAGTCTGCATGGTTTAATCCCGACATCGTATAAAATACATCTTGGGACACCAGTCTCCATTTCCAGATGAAGGCTGGCGGGTTTAAGTTGTTTGAAAACGTATCACATACGTACTATATTGAGTTAGTTGCTCGGTCCTAAGGTAGAGGATTTTAAATGCTTTTAACACAAAATTAAGCAGTTTTATTCTCCAAAATAAAATCGAGATTGGCCCTTTAAGCTCGTCAACTTCTTAAGGTTTAAGGATATGCTTGCTTTAGCTCACATTAAAGATACATTAAGTAAGATTTAGATAAAGAACTAGCCATTCTTGCTATAATAGTTCGAAAGTAGATGATGTAAAATGAATAATTTGAAAATTTCATTCAAATTACTCTATTGCAAGCGAAAATATTATTAGCCTTTGAAGGTTTGACAGACGTGTGCAATAATTTCAACCACCGTACTGGTTGATCGAAGCTAAGTCTCGGTCCTCCATATTTGATTAAATCAAAGTATCGCTGAACCATTCTAATCTATTTAATATCAGAGAAATCTGATGCCGTCGAGAGTTGATTAAGGCCTGGGTCAGTTAATTAATGTCTAATTAATACTTTAGAAAACATTTCAGGCCTATAATGAAAGACCTGCAATAGGCAGATTTAGCTCTTGCAATATGCATGTTTAAGTTTTTTTAAATAAATATCGGCTAAATTTTATAGTCTGCATGTTATCTGCAGTCCCTTCCCCTTGAACGAAAGTGTACAACATTGCTAACAACCCCAATACTGGACGTGCCACAGAAGTTCAAAGATCGTATGCCCACCATCATTCAATTATAAAATCTGTTCCTAATTTAATTAATCTTCTGCCCGAGTTCACCCTATACTTTCTTTTACAGTACGGGAACCATTTCTGCAGAATAAACGCTTTAAATTAAACTCTTATTCTTTTTTGGAATTTTGTCAAGAGCCCACTTACTAGGCTACCACTACAGACAGAAATTAATGCCATTGTTATATTTGTCAATTTATTTTCCGTCCATTGTTATATTTGTCAATTTTGTCAATTTATTTTTCTTCCATTGTTATATTTGTCAATTTATTTTTCTCCCCTCGCGATTTTCCTTTTTCATTTCGAATTCACGTTTTATCGTTATTTTTGTCAATCATTCGATTCATTCTTTTAAAGGTTATCTCTTTTGTTAACTGATTTTTTCATAGCACACTGTATGGCGTATGCCCGTCTTCGTTAGCCTAGTTTAGGAGCAGAACAGCCGGACGTTAAACCCCCATTTCATTTCATTTTCATTTCTTTAGGGCTCCTAGGCCAGTAATTTTGTCGCGTCTGAAATTTGTAATATGTGTTTACGGACTGAATAAAGTGCATCCGGAGTCATCTGGTCAGTAGGCCTATAGCGGGATGGAGGGCCTGATTGACAAGGAGCATTGTCTAGTCGTTCGGATGGTGCCCAAAACTGAGGTACCGTGTAGGCTTCACATTGCCGTGCAATAAAAGCGCATTTGGCTTTAGCCTGGCGCACACTACGCGATAACTTAACCGACGAGTTTGGCGCAATATAAGTGGGGTGAGCACACTGCACCTGACTTTTGCGGTCACAAAAACAACCCTGTCACGTGCTTCGTCATGTGACACCTTTAAATGCATTTAAGGCACCATCGCGTTGAATACTTCAATTAATCAAATAATATTGTTTTGTACATGATGATCAGGAGGCGGCGTAGTCGTCTTGGCACAAGGCCGGTCGAGCGCAATGCGTATTCTAAGTGTAGGCTACGAGCCGAATTGGGCGACTCTCGTAGGCCCTATGTATTGAAAACAGGCTACACGCGGATAAGCCCAGAAATATTCCAGAGTATCTTAAACATAATTAGCCCTCTCATTACCAAACAAACAACAAGATGAGACAACCAATTTCTGTTCATTTTAAAATGACCGCCGAACCAGAATCACGTGATTTCATGTCACTCGAAAATACAGAAAAACTTCGGCAAGATAAGATTATGATTTCAGTGCTCCACTCTTCACTATCTGTAGCATAATTACTTATTTTCAAGCAAACTGTGATAATATGTGTTGAAAATTTTGCAATTGAGTGAACCTGATTTTACTTGCGCAAAGCTTCGAATATAGTGTATTGTAGCCGAAAATGTTCATTGCCTTAATTAGCCTATAAATATAATTATTAGATTTTAAACTATTTTGTACTGGTAGAACAGTGTTCTTTCTTTTTTTTTTCATATTAAATAAACTTTTTTTTTCTTGAGGCCTATGGGGCTGAGAGTTTGTGTACCAATTTTTCGATAATCAATAGCTGGTTCGTCCATGCGACAACCTCGCATGTTAATATAGTTTTCTGATTGGCTAAGACAAAAGTTACATGTCAATCAATACAATCAGCTGCCGTATACAATGGCCGCGAGGAAGAAAGGATGAAAACAGAAGCTGACTCACACCTTCTTAACTCTATGTTAATCCGCAGCGCGATAGACATTCTGTTAAATACATATTCACAAAATATTAACTATCCATATAATCAATAATTAGATTTACAAGCATTATACAATTGATAAATACACACGAAGCCACAATAACACTAGAAATGTATCCTCCTTCGGCATAGGACCAGTAGCGGCCATTACGCGTATGAATATTTCCAAGGTAAGTTCGGCCAAGCGTCGTCACAAAGAAGAGTATTTGGTTATGTTGGAAAGTGTATCTTTTAGGTGATTTTATCGCCAATTGGTCAAACATATCCCATTGGATATATACCTTGGGTCGTGTCTATTTAGAGCGACAACCGAGGTATGCAAAATAATTCGGGAATAGCAGCACAAGACAGTTCTTGGAACACAATTAACGAAAGGTAAGTTTCAGCATGGTCCGACAAATCGTCGCCATTTTGGCTAGAGCACCCCTCCTTTGTATATAAATTCTCGTTTTATTTCACGCTGTAATTATTTGACAGTGTGATTATTTAAGTTGGGGTCTTTGCCGTTCTTTAGAGATGCGGATGATCGCCGTAGATATTGGTGATATCCGATTATACAGGTCCTGATAGAGAGGAATACGAGCTGATCTGTTGTTTTGGTCCTCCAAGAATGATGGAACCAAGAACGGGCACTTGTTTTACAATATCCTAAATCGCACGAGACAGTAATTCCCTTGAAAGAATATTAGTCATTTAGCCTTCAATATCACATATTACCGGTACCTGATGACCGTACAGATGAATGAAATGACACCATGTGTTGAATTTGTGTTGTTTTCTTATCTCTCTTGTTTTTTTTAAAGTAGAGAATAAAATTTATCATCTTGATCATCATCATGGCCTCAGAATGTCATATTGCAGTGGCGAAGCCAATACATACCAGTCTTTTATTAATTTAAAAAAAAAATAACTCTAATATTGTGATTGTAAACCATTTGAAGCCTAGAAGTGTAGTTATTTTATTAATTTAGAATCATCCAACTGTCAAGTTCAAACATCCAAATGAAAGAAGAATTACATGTATTTCACATCCCACATAATGACATAACAAGGCTTATGGAGGTATATGGACGAATCTATTATGTTACCATTAGAGTTAATCTGATAAAATGTATGAGAGTATTCTTAAAGAGTTAAAATGCAGATAGATGTATTTAGACCGGGATGTAGTCATAACGGCCCTATGCCATAACGGCCAAAAACGGGTTTGGTGAAAACGGCCCTAGTTTGGTTATAATCGGCCAAACATTTTTAATTTAATGAAAAACAATATATCCGAGCAAATATTGTTGTTGTTTCTTGTTGTTTATTAAAGATTTAACGTCCAATACATTAGATATTTATGATATTATGGACAGGTTGATTTAATTAAATTATTTACACTTAATTGGTTGAAAATGTCCGTGTATATCAAAAGTCTCCTTATTATATACAGACAGAACTATTAGAAATATTAATGAATAAATGACTCCCCAGACTTGACCAACATTAATTAAGTGGTTGTGTACCGGTAACAGTTTGCTTGGTTAAATATTACTGATTAAGAACCTTGTAATGAATTTATATTCCATTTGAAGATGCATAATCACTCTAACTAATACCATAGATCTAATATATAATATTAAATAAATGGTTAAGAATATCATGTTCAGAATAGCCTTACCTTACAGTTTAGTTAAATTAAATTGCAAGTCCTGGACCCTGTTTCTCGAAAACTTAAAGTAGCTAAGTCTCTAACCCAATATCATCGAAAATCTTTGACATTGAAAACAAATTATTTATCAATTCAAATCAACAGGAAAAAGATGGGCTTATGATATCCAATATTCAAGACAAAATAAACATTTTACCATTGGTACACGAATCGTGTACCATTCAGCGCCATTTGGAACAAGGGACTCAAAGAACGAGGCTAGACATATTCCACAAGTCATGTCAAATGGTGATGCTATATTCATATCTGGAGAGCATGCGCAGTAAATACCATCGGTGTAGACTGGAATAACCAGACGCTAAAGATTGTCATTTAATTGAGACTTTGGGGCATTTCGTCGAACATAAATGATTAGAAATTACAAAAACAGAAACGATTGAATGTAAATCAGTTTATATACATTCATATTACATTATTATATGTGTTGCGACCCATTTGTGTCAATTGCTAGATCCCAAATATTAGCGATTTAGCTCCTTTAACTAAAGATAAAATCCAAATTTTAGTAGATACTTCAATTTTGATTGGCTAAGCACTAAAATCAATCTAATATTATCCAATCAAATTACTAAAATTTGGATTTTATCAGAGTTAAAATTTCGTGAAACGGGTCCCTTGTCTACTCAGAGTTATGTAGATTGTGCCATCGTTTGCTAAACCCCTAGAAAAGTAATTTGTACAACTCGTAATTTGATTGAAAGGAAAGATTGAAACCATACATGTACCAGCACACTACGGTACATGTATATACATACATAGGCAGATAACCAATTTAATATTTAGGATACTAGCATACAAAAGGGTTAAAATGGGATGTATGTTGTAGGCCAAAAAAAATATAAATTTACACTGAGATTACAGATCAATGTAAAATATAATTTTTATTAAGAATGTAGTGTGATGTAGGTTTCTATCCATAAAGTGACAAGTCCAAAAACTTTCATCCTCCAAATTGTAAAAGTTTTCTAGTACCAATTCCGATTGTCAAATTGCTACAAGTTTATGTGACTCAGTGCATGTACATGTACTCGTGTATCCTAAAGAACCAATCATTAGTTTCCATTTTGGTCAACTGTCGTGATCATGTAAGGTTATGCTTGCTGATTTTGTGTGGTTAAAATTTCAGGATTTCAATCAAAATGGAATAGAATAATTTGATTTAAATGAACCTGTTGAATTGTCACCCAATTAAAGAAAACGAAAAGGCAACATTGTGAGAGGATGGTGTTTTGTTATGATGATTCTAGAATATTAAAGCAGTTTGTACTGAAGACAGCAGTGACTCACTCTTAAGATTTCTGTTTTCTTAAAGATACATTCCCGCGTATAAACTGGGTGATTTGATGATATATTTGGACTAAAAACATATTCAAACTAATTAATTTATCACAATTTTGCTTCAAATCCTTCTCGAAACATTGCAATTGTCGGAATACCCTTGCTATAAAAAATTGATCAAAAGAGGTCATGTTTGTGTCACGTGACTTACCTCTCTCGGTACCTAGCAACGGGTGCGAAGTCGGAGGAGAATTCATTGCATACACAAGACAATGTTGTCTTTAATCGCTGACTATTTACATGTATTACAAATATCGAAGCCGAATTAAATTCTCGGATTATCCACTGCCCGCGTCTTTTTTCGTGATTTTTATCTCAGAAAGTGTTGTGCGTCTAACTCTTCATAAAGTTTATCAACAAGTATATCAGGCGTTCAATCACCGCTTGCAACCTTTGACGTCACGCCTGCAGGCACTCTTAATCGTCAGGCTGTCCATTAGTGAAACCTTACACTTTTGTCCTGTATTCGCTCCATGAGTGTTTTTCAGGGAATCCAGTATTTTTCTAGTAAGACTGGATATTTCTACTTTCCATATATACCAAAATTGCCATACTTTTATTGTAAATAACAACCCAATAAATACTTTTCTGGGAACGTATCTTTAATTTCAGGCCAACTTCCTGTGGCATTGTCCCATACATGTACATTTACAAGGTTTCAACAGTGAAAAATATAAGTACCGTACATGTACATACCAGTAACCAACCACCATACAACTTCCTTTCTGTTTCAATGCCAGTTACGTGAGCCCCCATCTCTGAATGTGTGCAGTTTAGTGTTCTTCTGCCAGAAGTGCAAGCACTGCAAATTAGAAAAGTCTATAGTGCTTTTGAAGGCACTACATATGATATATCTCATGTTCTTGAGAGAAATAAATGATTATCCAGTATCATTTTATAATTGTCAGTATAACAATTATCAGGGTTGCGTACCTGATAATGGAGCCTACAGGCACAATTTAGGATTCATTCAAAATTTTTATAGAGTTACTACATGTGACCGGGTAAAAATATTTACGTGCAGTTTATGACCCTTTATAGTATAGGTGACGCCTTGTTCCTGAAGCAACGACTCCAAGTTTTATAACATCTGGACATTGCTAGATTACTTCACAATTCCTGAACTTATACATGTACAATCAGAGGTTGTAACATAGCGACCTCCACAGAAACCTTGACATTGAACGAAGCTTGAACTTTGCAACTCTATTATGACAGATAGACATTTTAGCTTAAAAGCGTGAGACTTGGTATTTGCGATGATTGAGGAATCTGATAGACTCACAAGGTCAGCTTGTACCCAATCGAAATTAGTGCCGAAATATGCAGGGTATTACGTGAAGGCCTTGATAAGATGTACATAGTTAAACTTAAAGCGAGATCAAGCCTTCTTTCTATTGAACTTTGAAGATGAGGTGACACATGATTATCTGAGATCCAGGATATTTTTTTTAATATGGCATTTTATAATCCTACATGTACATGTACATTGTACATGTAAATCCAAATAATCGAGTCTGTACATGTAACTCATGTTGTTATATTGCCATAATTCAGGCGATTGTTTAGAAACTTACATGTACATGTATTATGGGATAGATTTTCATGCCATGTTTGTTTGCGAGGGATACAGAAGCAATTGAACATTGAAAGTACATGCAGGCATATATTCTTTATAAAAATTTTATAACAACAGCACATAATCACCTTGCAAAAAACATAATTACACTAGTTCTGGCATGATATATTGTTGAATCGATGTATCGTGATTCACCTTCTCACGATTCACATATTGAATCGTGACATGCTGAATTTTAAGGTTTTTTTTGTCACTTCATTAAGTAACCTGTCACTCTTAATTATCCATGTCACACATTATCCAGGTATACAAACACTCTTAAATTGTTTTGGTCCTTATTTTGATCCACATTAAAATCATGATATAAAACAGTTTTATTTCTTTGACATCGTCATCGGCAGGACTAAAAATATCAATTATTCATTTATCCTGTTGTTTTCTTGGTATGACCTGGATTTGAATTGTGATATGAATCGTAGCACCTGAAACGCAATACGTATTGTATCGTGACTGCAGTGGCAAATCGCAGCACTAAATTACACATGACTTCTGTGAGTTAGTCTTCTATTTAGAATCATTACAGGCTTTTGAGTCCAAATAATTCAGACCGTGCAACTCGCTTTCATTATGTCAAAATATTGCTGTAGTGAATCAAGACGATTATTCTTACATTTTCATACCCTGTTTGTTTGCAAGGAATATTGACATGGAATGTGGAAGCAGAGTTATTGCCCAGGCTCACTTTGTAGAATTAACAAAAGCTACCATCTCCTCATCTCCCCATCTGCTTGAAATGTGTATAATTCATTGTTCAAGTTAGTAAACAAATTATGGAGTTTCAACAATTTCTGTAAATTTACATCTAGAGTTATGGTCCTTTGTTGTCTTTGTACAATCTTGTTCTGGCCACTAAAGTTATCTAGACAAGCTTTCAATACCACCCCTGAAAAATATGTTAAAGAAAGAAACAACTTGACGAACATGTGTGTGTCCAGTTGGGTGGGGAGCAGGTTCCTGTGGGTCGATATTATAAGATGGCTGCCACAGGCTTTCATAGTACCACAATAAACAAACCTTAATTTTGGTAGCCTACCAAAACCTTATTATGGTAGCCTACCAAAATTAGATTTTTCAATCGTTATACTTGAGAAATGTGGATGTTTGTAAAATTCAACAAGTTTGCTAGTTCGCCAATGCGCATAATATCTTGTTTTAACTCCGTGCAAAGGTTAAAGGGGAGTGGTTTTTAAAAATTGATAACAATATTGCTTCTTTAAATGTATGTACGTGTCATGGCTCAGAAATGTACCGAAAAAAAACATGCAATAGCTCATTGAACTTAAGCCAAATGACCAACAATAGTGCGATTTCTCCATATATACATGTAGGTACACAGGTCCAAGTTCACTGTACACTTGTACATGTACCACTTAAATGACAGTCTTTTTCTTTGATATTCCAGGAGTGAAGCTTTGTCATTTGGTGCCAGGATGAATCCAGGCAATGATAAGGAGCTAAACGATTTACTTGATTTTAGTGCTGTAAGTATAGCCAACAGTATATTTAATTAATTCGATGTACTCCACACTCCAAACATTACATGTACATACATGTACATATTTATTGTCTTTTAGGTTTAAAGGCGTAGTTCTACTTAAGTCTTGCATCGTATTTCAACAAATTATTATACTTATAGACATTGGAGTTAAATGTACAATGTACTAAGATTGGTTATTCAACATTTATTTAAGAATTAAGAAAACATAAAAAAAATCTCTGTTTGGATTCATTCAGATTTAAAAGCGGCATATCAAAAGATTTTGGTAAACCTTACAGATAGCACTCACTCACGTACATGAATTGTGAAGACAAATGTCCTTTAACTTTTAACTTTCAGCAAAACAGACCGAAAATGATTTACTGGTACCATAAAAAAACCCAAAACAACCAATTAACACTCTTGCTGGCTTGAGAGCTCCAAAAAATAAAAAAATAGCCTTATTCTAAGTACTAGATGTGTTAGTGTCCTACCTGTTGTGTAAATTATCCATTAAATCCTATTTTACTTGTACAAAGGGTTCAAAAATATTTTTAAATCCAAGTCACATTTGAAAAGCTTTACGTCAGGCTTTTCAAATCATTTAGTTGAATTTGTTCAATTTTTTAAATTAGGTGTGTTAAGATGAAATTTGTATCATCAATTAATTGGAATATTGTAAATTAGTACAATTTGTTGACCAGAATAAAGATTGGGACATATTATTCAGTTACAACAAGAGTGGTATTGGGTCTTTAAAGAAGCCAAGTCTTTATAATATCATCAACAGTCTTCTACATTGCTAACACCACTTATTGGTCAATTTAAAGCAAAATTGGTGTTGTTATCTTACCGGGAAAAGGTGGGGTTCTGAAATCCAATATTTAAGACAAAGGTGACCCGTGCAGTAAAAATTTTCTCTACAGAAAGTTGGGCACGCTTCAGTATGATAATACTCAGCGCTAGATTCTATGAGACTATAAATAGCCATCGTACATGCAATTCTCTACACATCTATCAACTATTACAGCCGTAAACCAGCGACTGCCAGGTAGGATATGCCCACATTTTGCAAGAGATGGATAGCGAACAAGCTAAAAACAAAAATGATTTTTTATACAATCAGGGACCATAATCCAGAAAGTTATGGTCTTAAATGTGCAAGGGACTAAGATTTTTGGAATATAAAGATATGTTTTAAGTTTCATCAAAATCAGATAAAAATTGTGACCTCTAGAGGGTCCATAACCTTTGTATTACATAATTGCATGTATACACAATTTGCGTACAAAGAGCGGCCATTTTTTCGGGCAGTTTGATTTCAATTTTCCCGAAATTCGAATTCAACCTCCATTATGGTGAAATGGTGATATACTAAAACGTTTTTTTTAAATTGGGTAAAAATTGTGACATCTAGAGGGACCACAAGCTAAAAACGTGATTTTTCGTACAATCAGGGGCCATAATTCAGGAATGTACGATCCGATATGTGTGAATATCGGAAGGAACCAAGATCTTTGGGTTATAAACATGTATTTCAAGTTTCGTCAAAATCGGATCAAAATTGTGACCTCTTAGAGTGTCCACAAGCTAAAAACGTGATTTTTCGTACAATCAGGGGCCATAATCCATGAAGTTAAGGTCCGATACATGCCAATATCGAAAGGAACCGAGATCTTTGAGAGATAGACCTACATGTACACCTGTATATTTCAAGTTTCTTCAAAAGCAAATAAAAATTGTGACCTGTAGAATGTCCACAAACAAATTGTGGACGAATGGACAGGCAGGGGCGACGACAATACATGTATACGTCTGCATGAAAATGTGGGCGTAAAAATCTATTGTTGACGATTCTGAATAGCAGTAATATTTAGCTTTTTGTTTATTATATCTTTAGAAATTACATTTGTTTTATTTTTTCAATTGCTTTATCATTAACTGTACCGTTTGGAGCGGCATCTTTTGATTTAGTACAAATAGCATCTCTGAAACACTTGTGTTGGGCAAGAACATGATACTGGAAGTAGTTTCATTTGACTTTAACAAGGTTCTTAAAACAATTGTTGAGTAGCCTAACGTGTATGTTTCTAAATTCAATTTCTTGTTCCAGCTTTCTGTTATGTTTCGTAAAAAAGTAGTCTTGATTATTCCGGCCTGTCGATCAGATGTAGAATAGTCAGTAGACTGGTTAAGCGAGACTAATTTCAAAACAAAGGCACGTAACCTATTTTTTACTCTCAAGTGCCCAGATGTTATGGCCGACACTCGTATTCATAACCATCTTTCAGTGTATTATTTATGGATGGTTAAATGGTCATAGCTTATTAAGTACAACATGACCGTTTATTTAGTGACTATAAATGTGCGAAACTGATTTAAGGCTTGGTATATAAATATTGAGGGGGGTTGGATGGCTGAATGGTGAGCGTGCGCGCGCTGTATCATAAAGTCTGTCATCGAGTCGACTGGCGTGGTTTCGAAACCTCGGTTGTATGTGACATGGAGTAGGGTCGCCTGTCCAACCTCGTGGGTTTTCTCCGGGTCCTCCGGTTTCCTCCACCTGCTAAAGACCCCTACGCCCAAGAGAATTATTGAAATAAAATTAAACCATATGTTAGTCCCGAAATGACCTAGTTTGTGTCGATTGGATGTTAAACCCCATTTCTCTCTCTCTCTATATATAAATATTGTGGTGTAATTGTCGAGATATTTGGAGATATTTATTTATGGTGGGTCACCCTACCAGAATGCTTTTGAACAGCATTTGTATGAAGCGACTCGATGAACGAGGCTAAACATATTCCATGTAGGAGAATACTACCGGTGTAGACTGGAATAACCAGGCTGCAAAAACTGCCATTCAATTTAGACTATTTGCGTATTGCGCCGAACACTACTGATAGAAATTACAGTAAAAACAAAAATGATTTAATGTAAATCAGTTTATATACATTCATATTACATTATTATATGTGTTGTGACTCATTTCTGTCCATTTCTAGGTGTTAAAGAATAGCAATTCAGCTCCTTTATAAAACCCTTTCATTACTAGTGAGTTTTAAAATGTATGACGTCAAATCCTGACAATATTCAGAATAAACGTCGAAAGAATATGTGAAATGATTATACATGTAGCTCAAAAGCTATCAAGTTAATTCCATCTTAAAGAGAATTTATTTTCCATCAAAATGGTACACAAATTTTGAAAATCTGATGGTACATGTAAATAAAAAAAATAGCATACATTTTAGTTAAAGAGTGTCAAAGCGGCCGACGGTACGGTGGTCCTCGAGACGGATGAAACTGTTTGGGTGTCAGCATATTTTGCTTACACTGACTTGCTTGATACATTAATGTACAAAGCTGTAGTTGTCAAGAGCTTATTGGGTTTAACATGTACATATATGCCACACAATTGAGAAGGTGCAATATACAAAAATAAATATTTTTTTGTTGATTTTCTGAGAGCGATCATCAAATTCGGGCAGCAACTTCAATGGATTGGATTCGTGTAATTTCTACATGTACTTGGTCGGCAAATGTTGGAGGTAAGTTTGTGGTATGTATCTGTTGAGGAAGATATCCAGAAACATTCTGGGGAAAGATGAGAAACACAGTAGAGTTTATAAAATCATTTTTATACATGTATCTTTCAAACTTGTAAACTGAACTCAAACTTCTGAACTCAAACTTCTGAACTCAAACTTCATAAACGTATTCAACTGTATAACTCTGAAATAAATAAAAAAAATTAAAAAATTAAAACTAAGACATAGTCTTATCTATGGACGGAGGTCGGAAAAACAATTCGACTTATACCCCTCATCGACTTATACCCCGTAAAATACGATATTTACCTCACTCGCAACTGTCACTGCCTTATAAATATCAAAAAGTAGATTTTCGAACACTCCCAGTTATGTTTACGTATTATTATCATTAATATTGTACACCGATTAATGTACGACATTCTATTGATAGAATTAAATTCATCCGTAAAAGTAGCATTATTAAGTACAAGCTGGTCTAAGATAAAACTCCATCACCGATGTTAACAACAACAATGTGTCACCAAGTGATGATTCTCGGACCAAGTATTCAAAATTTGACTTCTTAAGACACACATATAAATTATCACGATACTATTGTTATCGTGATATTTTTATACGCCCACATTTTCATGTATTGTCGTCGCCCCTGTTTGTCCGTCCCTCCACAATTTGTTTGTGGACACTCTACAGGTCACAATTTTTATCCGATTTCAGCGAAACTTGAAATATAGCTCTATCTCCCTAAGATCTCGGTTCCTTTCGATATTGGCATGTTTCGGACCATAACTTCATGGATTATGGCCCCTGATTGTACGAAAAATCATGTTTTTAGCTTGTGGACACTCTAGAGGTCACAATTTTGATCCGATTTTGATGAAACTTGAAATGCATGTTTATAACCCAAAGATCTTGGTTCTTTTCGATATTCGCGCATATAGGATCGTAACTTCCTGAATTATGTCCCCTGATTGTACGAAAAATCGCGTCTTAGCTTGTGGTCCCTATAGATGTCATAATTTTTATCCGATTTAAAAAAACATATTTTTATATCACCGTTACACCATAAGGACGGCTGAGTTTGAATTTCGTAAAAATCGGCCCAAAACTGACAGACAAAATGGACGGCATTCGTACTCAAATAGTGTCAAAATATGGTATATCAATGTTGTGGACCCTCTAGAGGTCACAATTTTCTTTTGATTTTTATGAAACTTGAAATGTAAGTTAATAACCCAAAGATCTTGGTTCCTTTCGATATTCGGCATATCGGATAGTAACTTCCTGAATTATGGCCCTTGATTGTACGAAAAATCGCGTTTTTAGCTTGTGGTCCTTGTTGAGGTCACAATTTTTATCTGATTTAAAAAAAAGTGTGTGAATATATAACCATTACACACTAAAATCATGGATCCTTTTGATAATCGCGGATACCTGAACTTTACTTCCTGGA